TAAAACAAAGTAAGTTAATTAATTTAATTACTGCTTTTAGCCGCTTTACGGATGCTTGTACTATTGATGACATTATTTATAGCTCGTTTTATCAAATATTATTTATTGATATTAACACGTTCCGTTTTTCTTTTGTAAGTTCGCATCCTAAAATGAAAAGAACATTAATGTAAAAATATTCAAGTGTAGCGTGACTAGATATTAAGGGTCACTTGAAAATTGCTCATTCGACTCCAAGTGTTTTGGCTCAAATGGCCCCTTCCCTGAATTATATTTAATATGTTAAATAATTATGTTATGCTAGCTTAGAAATTCGAAAAAGTTGGTTAAAGGTGTCTATTTGGAGCGCGGCGCTGTACGGGTGCGAAATATAGACGGTGGGCGCGGCGGAAAAGAAGACGTTAGAAGAGGATGTCGTGGATAGAGAAGGTTAGAAATGAAGAAGACTCTATGGAAGTCAATAAAAATAGGCGAGATAGGTTGGTAGGACACCTTCTCAGGCTTGAAGGTCTAGTCAGAGACATATTAGAGGCAGAAACACGAGTTAAGTGGAGTAGAGGTAGATTTATTGTTAGATTAGATTATGCACCGCGTACGTGATATACAACAGGTGAGTCACTAGATTCCGCGGCTCAACCGACCCCGCTCTGCCCTACTAATTAAAATAATAACTTCGTCAAAACAACAAAAACAAAAATTACCTAAGTATGCGGTCACAAACTTGCTTCTTTCATTTGGAGGAATCCATTGTGCAGTCATATTGTGCATAGATGGCCAGGCAAAACCCTTCACAAAATAAATTTTGTACATTTTAGATACTGCATTATAAATTAAAAAGAATAAATAATCTACTTAAGAAGATGGAGTGTTTTTACATTTATTATATACTACTTCTCCTGCCGATGAAATTAAATCTGTAAATAGTATGTAAAAGAACAGAAAATACTGTTTAATAATTATCTACTCATCTAAATTTTTTATGCTACAGAATTGTTTTCTAATAATTTATGCCAACAATGGTAAAAAATATTAATAATTGAATTTTATTGCATATACCATATAAACTGTTATCGGAAGCAGACATGGTTCAAGTAATACCCTTCTCATGATATTGTGATGATCACATATTAATGTGTTCTTCAAAAGGTAAACTAAAATATTGTTTATTGTAAACAAAAATAAAGAATGCTAAAAACCATAAATCAAAGGTTATCTAAAAAAATACATGAATGTAATCTTTCGCGTTAAGTCTTATTCAGTATTGCTGTTGACAATTAGAACTTATTTAGCTTCTTTTTGCGAAATGGACATTAACCTGTTTATTGTAAAATGGACAATATATAAAATTTAGTGACAAATACGACTGATTTGTGAGGAATTATTAAATTCAGCAATAATCGATTATCGAAAAATAAGCGATTAATCGAAATAATCGGAGAAGGTATAGGAACATTTGGCATTTATTATTGCTCTTAGATGAAGCATAACAACACAAAAATTAGTGATGCGCAATTACAGAATAATCTTACACTCGAAGTAATTGACAATCGATCAAAAAAGTAATCCAATGAATACCCGATTGCAGTAGTAGCGAGTAAACAGCAGTATATATTTTTGAAACTTAAAGAAATTGTCGTTGTTTTTTTTTAAATGTTATTTATAAATCATAAATATATCAAGTATAATACGTGCTAGCATTACAAATTACTTTTAACAATCCGAACCATAAAATTTTTGTTGAAACTAAGATAAATTTATAATAATAATAGAGTTACAGAAGCACTGTTCATGACACATTTTATTATTCAGCAAATCTTAGGAATGTATAGTAGTAACCTCAAAATGAAAGGAAAATCTATTTTATATAATTAATTTCAAAACAAATCGAACCAGCTGGATTATTGCCAACGATATTTTAATGAAATCCACCTGAACTTTTTCATCTTCATCATGATAAAGTCTATTTTGACCTTTGTCACTCTTAATACCTGTTTCTGCTTCTAATAATAGTCTTTCATGTCTAAGAAGGTGTTCTACCAATCCATCTCCCCTTTTATTTATTGAACTGATGCTTTTCTGATTCGGGCTTAAAGACATACTTCGGTTGGGGTTGCTTCCTAACGTTTCGCTAGCACTAGTAACGAACTTCTTCAGAGATCCTTTCATCTCCGATGCTGGATGTGGATCGAAACGTTAGGAAGTAACTCCAACCTATCACGAAAGCGTCAGTTCGCCTACTGGCCGCGAAAGCCCTTATCGATTTGTCTTTTTCTTATTGACTTCCTACATGTAATTATCAATTCAAAAACTTACACATATAATTCCTTGAATGATCCTTAAAATGATAACGTAGTGTACGCCTAAGTAACAGCTCACAGGAATTAGAAAACAGCATAAGATTCCAATGAAATTTGAAAGGCCAAAAACTAGTTTAGTTCCATATTTTGCAGCAAGTATGCCACCGGGTATTTGGGTTAGCCAATGTAACCAGAAAAATGCCCCCAAGACTCTGCCCTGTTCGTGTTCGTTCCATGTAAATGTATCGTCTTTTGTAGTAAGAACTGCTTTTGTGTGTTCAACATCGGGAATATTCTTTAAAAATATAAATTGATAAGAAGGAGGGTATACACTTGATTTGACTATTTGTGATTTTGTTGAGAAATAATTTAAAAATATTATCATAAATTAAACAATTTAGAGGGATGCACACAGCCTAACTTATCAGAGGGGTCATACAAACATCTTTTTCTTCTTCTTGTTCAATCTGATTTTAATCTCTATCAAACGTCCCTTTGAGGTTTTATCTAATTGTAATTTGATAATTCCCATTAAAATTATACCTACTTTCTGAGTAACTAAACTATCGCTGAGGTTGTGTCCATCGATGGAACGTTGTGTAAGTGCTTCATAAGGTCGGAAGGTTGTAAACGTATTTTTGTGTTCCGATGGACTGAAAATGCTAATATTTCTTAAACATTCGCTGTCTGGATTTATTCCTGATTTCGTTTTCGACTTTACCATTGATACAATGGCTATATTCAGGTTTATCCTTATCATATAATTTACTGCAAAACCTATGAATACTAGGTGCCAAAGAATATCTCTTTGAGAAAAGAACTCTTTCCCTAAAAAAAGATGTAGAGAAAGAAACAAGCTTTAATAATCTTTATAAGTATTTGTTAACAAAACGAATATTTGCGATAATAAATCTTTGTGTGACAGTTTGGAAAAATTCTTATGTATAAAATGATTGACGATTTTTTTATTAAAAGAAGACAATGGTACACCTGAATGTTGTTGCATGATTAGATAATAATCCAAAAGAAATTGAGTAAATTCAATACTCAAAAATAAGAGAACAAATAGAGAATAAAATAATTCGAAGTGGTCTATAATCTGCCGAAACTGCCAGACGCAGATCGCGATTTCGATCTTTCTGGATCTCATCAGCGCGTCGCAGACAGCCCGACAGAACATCGACCAACTTTTACCTGCTGTCTTAACAGTGCGTTTTAGAAAATACCACAAACGGCGCGGTAAACGCCATCTGTAGTACGATGCTACATTTTAGGATTACATATGCTCCAACAAGGTCCACTTGTGTGGATATCTACTTGCTGAAACGAATCCCGGGGTAGCTAACCTCGACGTGATAGGCACGTTACCGTAATCGAGTAAAATAATTCGAAGTGGTCTGTATTCTGTCAAAACTGCCAGACGCGGATCGCGATTTCGACCTTTTTGGATCTCATCAGCGCGTCGCAGACAGCAGACCTTGTTGGAGCATACGTAATCCTAAAATGTAGCATCGTACTACAAATGGCGTTTACCGCGCCATTTGCGGTATTTTCTAAAACAAATAGATAATTTGCAATAAACCTCAAAGAAAAATTGCTTTTCGATTGAAATCAATTTGAAAATTAAGATTATCTTGTATGAAGACAAAAATGATTTGCCGAGATTTGGACATCTCCAACCATTTGATACTTACTCACATAATAATTTATCTTTCATTGTTTATTTCCTGAATGCATTGATTCCCTAACATTTGTTCTGGTGACTGCTTCGTTTTATGAACTAGATAACTTTTATCTTGGCGTTTTAAAATAGAATATACATAGGTATACGAAGTTTTATCACACGTTCCATATACACATAAGATAATGATATATATATTAACCATATCAAGTTGTAAGATCAGATGATAAATTCAACAAGATAAATATGTACATTAGATTTCAAAAATGCGTTGCAAATTCGGAGGTCAATAATTTGATATATTGCATACGAATGAATCATTAAGAGCAGGTCGGTTTAATTTGAGCGAAAGTCGTAATAAATTTTGTATTGAATGCTATTACCAATTGCAAAAAACATTTGGGTGTTTCATTCCTACCAGCCACTAATGCTGGTGGGCGACTAGTCCCTCCGGACTGCACCGGAAGGCTCTCTTCAACCTCCTTTCAGGAATTATGGGAATGGGTGGGTGGTGGTTCGGGTGAGAAAGATGAGACGGACGAAATGAAGACAGAAGAGAATTAAAGATTATCTGTGGAGTTTCACTGGCCTGGCATTTGCCTAAGTGATCCAAAGAAATCACAGAAAAACCTGGACCAAGGCAGACGGACCCGGAATCGAACCGGCGTCCTCCTGAATGCTAAGCAATGGTCTAAACCTCTCGGCCATGCCACTGAGTGTTAATATAACTGTAATTAAGGAGTTATAATATGCATATAATACTTTTTTATTGGCTATTAAGTGCTAACTTCGCCTTCTTAAAATGACCTAGCTGGAATAAATATAATAGACAGGTATGTAAAGTAAATAAGAAAGGTACAAAATGAAAGGAAAGTTTAACAAAACATAATTATAAATGCAGTATTAACCCTCTATTACGAAACTCAAGGGATTCAGCACTTTTACCTACTGAAGACTATTGTTTAGGGTTGAACTAAATGTTTGAAGGTAGGAGGGCACTAATTCTGTATATGTATAGGTATTTAGGCATTGATAATATANACCAATAAGGGTGTAATAAATCCACTAACGGCTCCACCTGTGTTGCAAAATCCCAGCATTACACCTTAAAATAGATAAGTAAAGAAAATATTAAAATATTTTCCCAAAAATGTTAGAATTTTTGAAAGTTCTAACTTTCTTACTTGCGTAATTTGGACTAAGATCAACTAAACTTGCTAAGGGACCAGATGATACAGCACCATTAACCCCTGTGGCTAATGTAAAAAACAACACCGCCATGACTTTATCGCATCCAGAAAATGCTATTCCTAACATGCATAACCCCTGGACGGTTGTACCTAGAAAAAGTGTTCCATTAATTTTAAAATCCTGGGAATGAATTTGACTGGTGGTTAGCAAAGTAAGACCAAGATAAAGATTGTCTCAGCCTTGATATCAGTCTTGGTCTTGCTTATTCGGTCTTGGTATTAATCTTGCTCAAATATTTCTAGTCTTGGTCTTACTGATAAGTCTCATTGTTCCAAAAAAATAATATATTAAAGTTGCTTCAAATAGTTTAACTCATAAATCCATAGGAAGTAATAATTTTTCGTTTAGTCTTGCGTATTTGGTCTTGGTGTTGTATATTCAGTACTGGTTTTAGTCTTGGTCTTGTTCGTTCGATTTTGGCATTGGTCTTTCTACTATAAAAATGGTGTTGATCATAACCAAGGTCAATTTTACAATGCCGATTCCTTCCTGGGTGTAAAATGGCACTTGAGCCGAAGGAGGGGGTGCCGTACTTTCTTCCAGAGGTCCTTATATGATTTTTTACTACACCTCTGTCCCGAAAGTACCATTTATTCCAATTTAGGGACAAAAGCGCAGCATAACTTTCGAACTTACTAGGAAAGTATTTTAATACCCGGAAGTTGCAATCTGAGCCGAATGTTAGGGTGGAAACTACGTGGCGGATGGTAAAATCTTTTCTAATAAGGAGTAAATGTCATTTCTTACTCTGAAGGGATTGCTGCGCTATCGTCCCTGAAATGAAGGAACGGTAGAGATATGATAAAATGCCTTTGACCAGTTGGTCCATCTGTTTTCACTTAACTCTACAGTTAATCTCAACAATGTCTACTGATATGTATTTTGGGTAACTTCCATTCAGGAAAATTGCAATCTGGGTTGCAGCAGCAGGTAGATTATTAAATTGTAAGAAATCAAGGTACAAAAGGCTTTTTATTTTTGTGAAACCACAACCGATCCCTGCTTAAGTAGTTTGATTTTTTTACAATTATACGATTGTTCTGGGAAAGAAGTGGTAGATTATTAAAGTTTACTTACAAAAGAAAGTAGCCAACTTTCGTACATTTGTTCTGTTCATTTTATTGGAACGTAGAAGGTAGTCGGCTGACATTGAAACAATGAAGGCCCAAATAACCCGTACTAAGTGGGGCATTCCAGATAAAACCCCCGTCTAAAAATATTTTATATGTATATCGTTAATAATTAGAGTATCATACCATCAAAACAAAACGGATGTATGTAATTACCGCTCTGATATCCCAACCATGTATCAACTTGAAGTATGTTGGACCATGGGTCATAAGCGTAAATAAGCCAAAAAGACCTACCCATTGTGCCATAACGTTCAAATATAAATATTTTGACGTTAGCAGGGCTCCCCATGGAATTGGTTTCTGAAAGTAAATTTCGTTATTTGTGCCTCTTATTTGCATCTGTGTTTAGAAAACGTTTGCACATTATTAGATAAACATAAATGTTGAGCTTTTAGAAAAAGCAGTGATATTAAAACAGTAAAATCTAACCCAAAATCTCTAACCGATGGCGAGGTTGACATCTTGGGTAGAATTTTAGTTTTTCTTATTTCAATTAAAGCATTTAGTATGCAATAAATTTTTTTTATAAACTGTCTTATTAAATTTAATGCGTAGTAAAATATTATCAAGCTTTTCTTTTAAGGAATTTCAAGGTATACTTAGAAAAGTTTATTTTTTTTAAAATTTTATGTAGGTGCTGATTTTACTATTCACAACTCAGTGAGATTTAGCTTATAAGAAATGCGCGCCGATGATTTGAATAAGTTTTTCTATACCCGCCATCTAGAAATGAGTAGAAATACTAAATTAAGCTATCGGATTTTCTCGATAGTTCTAAATTTCCTACACATTGGAGTAGATGGCAGACCATTGTCTATTATGACGATTTTCTTTAAAGGATGATAGTATGGTCCAAATTGATTTTTGATAGGTCGATATTAGGTACTAATAGTTATTATTATTCCTATCAAAACATTTTTACTCTGTGCATTCTGTGTATTTCATCTATTTTGTTTTTCTTTTCTAATTAACGGCACTAATTACGATAATTTGATGCTTTTATTCTTTTGAATGATATGTAGCCAGTTTAGATATCCTAATTCATACATACGTATGCGCAAATGCGAATTTGTTTCCTTGTAATACTTTCAACCCTTAACTACTCAGTCGATCATAATGAAATTTTATACACATTGTCAAAGGAAACGAAAAGGACATAAGGTACTTTTTATCCAGAAAATGAAAAATGGGTACTGATCCCGAGGGATACAAAAATTAGTTTTTTGTAGTTGTACGGGCATATCATAAGTAAATTGTTAGGAGTTCAATTTAAATATACAGNCTCAAATATTTCTAGTCTTGGTCTTACTGATAAGTCTCATTGTTCCAAAAAAATAATATATTAAAGTTGCTTCAAATAGTTTAACTCATAAATCCATAGGAAGTAATAATTTTTCGTTTAGTCTTGCGTATTTGGTCTTGGTGTTGTATATTCAGTACTGGTTTTAGTCTTGGTCTTGTTCGTTCGATTTTGGCATTGGTCTTTCTACTATAAAAATGGTGTTGATCATAACCAAGGTCAATTTTACAATGCCGATTCCTTCCTGGGTGTAAAATGGCACTTGAGCCGAAGGAGGGGGTGCCGTACTTTCTTCCAGAGGTCCTTATATGATTTTTTACTACACCTCTGTCCCGAAAGTACCATTTATTCCAATTTAGGGACAAAAGCGCAGCATAACTTTCGAACTTACTAGGAAAGTATTTTAATACCCGGAAGTTGCAATCTGAGCCGAATGTTAGGGTGGAAACTACGTGGCGGATGGTAAAATCTTTTCTAATAAGGAGTAAATGTCATTTCTTACTCTGAAGGGATTGCTGCGCTATCGTCCCTGAAATGAAGGAACGGTAGAGATATGATAAAATGCCTTTGACCAGTTGGTCCATCTGTTTTCACTTAACTCTACAGTTAATCTCAACAATGTCTACTGATATGTATTTTGGGTAACTTCCATTCAGGAAAATTGCAATCTGGGTTGCAGCAGCAGGTAGATTATTAAATTGTAAGAAATCAAGGTACAAAAGGCTTTTTATTTTTGTGAAACCACAACCGATCCCTGCTTAAGTAGTTTGATTTTTTTACAATTATACGATTGTTCTGGGAAAGAAGTGGTAGATTATTAAAGTTTACTTACAAAAGAAAGTAGCCAACTTTCGTACATTTGTTCTGTTCATTTTATTGGAACGTAGAAGGTAGTCGGCTGACATTGAAACAATGAAGGCCCAAATAACCCGTACTAAGTGGGGCATTCCAGATAAAACCCCCGTCTAAAAATATTTTATATGTATATCGTTAATAATTAGAGTATCATACCATCAAAACAAAACGGATGTATGTAATTACCGCTCTGATATCCCAACCATGTATCAACTTGAAGTATGTTGGACCATGGGTCATAAGCGTAAATAAGCCAAAAAGACCTACCCATTGTGCCATAACGTTCAAATATAAATATTTTGACGTTAGCAGGGCTCCCCATGGAATTGGTTTCTGAAAGTAAATTTCGTTATTTGTGCCTCTTATTTGCATCTGTGTTTAGAAAACGTTTGCACATTATTAGATAAACATAAATGTTGAGCTTTTAGAAAAAGCAGTGATATTAAAACAGTAAAATCTAACCCAAAATCTCTAACCGATGGCGAGGTTGACATCTTGGGTAGAATTTTAGTTTTTCTTATTTCAATTAAAGCATTTAGTATGCAATAAATTTTTTTTATAAACTGTCTTATTAAATTTAATGCGTAGTAAAATATTATCAAGCTTTTCTTTTAAGGAATTTCAAGGTATACTTAGAAAAGTTTATTTTTTTTAAAATTTTATGTAGGTGCTGATTTTACTATTCACAACTCAGTGAGATTTAGCTTATAAGAAATGCGCGCCGATGATTTGAATAAGTTTTTCTATACCCGCCATCTAGAAATGAGTAGAAATACTAAATTAAGCTATCGGATTTTCTCGATAGTTCTAAATTTCCTACACATTGGAGTAGATGGCAGACCATTGTCTATTTTGACGATTTTCTTTAAAGGATGATAGTATGGTCCAAATTGATTTTTGATAGGTCGATATTAGGTACTAATAGTTATTATTATTCCTATCAAAACATTTTTACTCTGTGCATTCTGTGTATTTCATCTATTTTGTTTTTCTTTTCTAATTAACGGCACTAATTACGATAATTTGATGCTTTTATTCTTTTGAATGATATGTAGCCAGTTTAGATATCCTAATTCATACATACGTATGCGCAAATGCGAATTTGTTTCCTTGTAATACTTTCAACCCTTAACTACTCAGTCGATCATAATGAAATTTTATACACATTGTCAAAGGAAACGAAAAGGACATAAGGTACTTTTTATCCAGAAAATGAAAAATGGGTACTGATCCCGAGGGATACAAAAATTAGTTTTTTGTAGTTGTACGGGCATATCATAAGTAAATTGTTAGGAGTTCAATTTAAATATACGTAGAAAATTATACTCGTTATAATTTTTTTAGTCTATATTAATATCATATAGAGGATTAAACCGAATTACAACATTGTTAAGCTATAAGGGCTTTTGTTATCATTTTTTCTCATGGGATTATTATCGATTATTTATTAACTTAATAAGTATGAAACTAATAGACGTGTAATATCCAATACAAACAATTTTAATGTTATGTGTTAGGTATTTCTTGTAAAATATTAAATCATGAGAATGATATGATTCTATTCTAATACTTTATACTATTTCGTAAAAGTAAAATATTTCTAAAAGTATTTTTTTACCTTTCGGATTCGACATTTCCTTGAAGTTTAGTATTTTTCTTTATTTTGAGTGAGCACAATGTTGGTGCTGTCTCGTCAGGGCCCCATTTTAAGCACAACTAACTCAAAAGCAGATCTTGGTACTGAGAAAATGTTCATGCATAGTAAATTCAAAAACTGGGGAACAATACGCGCACATACTATCACTTTATTTGTTTATGACGTGAAAACTACTGTTTAATTTGTATGTTTGAATTGAGCTGATAAACACTGATAATTAGATGTCATTTTTCACATATTGTACGGAAATAATTGCAGCTCCAAATAAAATATAAAAAAAGCGATAATTCGATGGTCTAAAATTAAAAAACAATATTAATTAATTCTGCGGAAATTTCTCATAGGTCTTCGGATTAGTAACTTAAGCGGACAATTGTCATGTTTTTGTTTTGTACAAAAGGAAGCGTGCTTCAGAGAGATACAATAATGACTATCACATGTTTTCTTCTCTGTTGACAAATATACAACACACTTGCTATCGCTATGATTATATTGTTTCATAAATAGAGCAATAAAAAGAAAGTAAGTAATTAGCTCTCTGACAATATCATATACAATAATACGACACAAAGACCTTAGTTGCTATCATTATTGCTAGAACTCAAAGTTCCAACGCACTTATTAGCCGTTACTTGGATTAAATTAATATGAATTATGATTTTTGAGATACACCAGATAGTGTTTTTGCCGGGTACTGGATAACCGGGTATCCGTTATTAGTTCTGCAATAATCTTAACCCGAGTAAAAATAAAAAGAACTATAACACCACCGAATCGCCTCCAAATATCTGAAATGACCTAAATTACCACCGAAATAGTTCCTACAAATAAGACGAAAATTTAATTTCTATAATTATAGTCAAAATAATACCCTTTGAAACTCTAAAACAGCTCCAACCTAGCACCACATTAGAAAAGATCTGAGCCTTGCCAAAAAACATACTATAAAAGCACCAAAACAACATCACATACAAAATCATCTGAAACAGCACCAAAACGTACTGTATATAAAAATGAATATATTGANCACCCCATACGATTTGGAAACTTTTAGTATTTATGCTAATTTTGTAACAATTTTATTCTTTACCTGAAGAAGCCAATATTATGGTGAAACAATTGTTTATATATATTTTTGAAACTTTACATTGGTTTGCTTTAATTGATTATGGAGTTTCAACAAGTAAAGCCTTCTACCATTAATTACAATAATTAAAGTGCAAAGTAAGGCAGAGTGGAGTCACTAGACCCGGATTTTGTTCAAATCAGCGTAAGGTCCATTCAAAAAATAAATAAGAAAAGAGTTATTCTCAAATCAGTCGTTTATTTATTTAACCGCATATTGAGATCAAAAAACTTTAGCAAATCCGTTGTTTACTATACTAAATTTATCTTATAATAAAAAAAGTCAACCCAACGGGGTCACTTGAGCCAATGGGTTTTACAAATCTTTGCACATTAAAACATGGGGACAAAAACATAATAAAATTTCTGAAATTCCTCATGGAAACCAAAAAAAAACTTAAATAAACTTCTAATTAAAACAAAGTAAGTTAATTAATTTAATTACTGCTTTTAGCCGCTTTACGGATGCTTGTACTATTGATGACATTATTTATAGCTCGTTTTATCAAATATTATTTATTGATATTAACACGTTCCGTTTTTCTTTTGTAAGTTCGCATCCTAAAATGAAAAGAACATTAATGTAAAAATATTCAAGTGTAGCGTGACTAGATATTAAGGGTCACTTGAAAATTGCTCATTCGACTCCAAGTGTTTTGGCTCAAATGGCCCCTTCCCTGAATTATATTTAATATGTTAAATAATTATGTTATGCTAGCTTAGAAATTCGAAAAAGTTGGTTAAAGGTGTCTATTTGGAGCGCGGCGCTGTACGGGTGCGAAATATAGACGGTGGGCGCGGCGGAAAAGAAGACGTTAGAAGAGGATGTCGTGGATAGAGAAGGTTAGAAATGAAGAAGACTCTATGGAAGTCAATAAAAATAGGCGAGATAGGTTGGTAGGACACCTTCTCAGGCTTGAAGGTCTAGTCAGAGACATATTAGAGGCAGAAACACGAGTTANTATGATTTTGTTATACTTACTATTATGACTGTTTTTTTGCTATTATTGGATAAGCCAACACTAATCAGTATCCGGTGCTATTATCCGGCACCCAGCCGGAATTTAGGGAGTGCCCGGTCCGCCGGATATCGCAACCAGACCAGATACCCGTTCTATACCTACATAATTTCTACACCTTTTAATTTATAACAACACCTCATTTTTATTATCTTGACATATGTTTTACGACTTTATGGCTTGAAAAGTTACAAATTATTATTATTATTACTTTCTTGAGTTGTTAATAAGTTAAAAATTTAAATATTTAAAATATTTTATTTCCTATTTTATAAATAAAACTTTTTAAGAAAAAGATTAATTAATCCAAACATTTATTTAACGTTCAAAAACAAAAAAACAAAGAACATAAGAATGTGACTTCTCTTCCACATTATTTTGTACTCCAACACACTTGGGACATCTTCCTTAAAAGGTTTTTTAATCAATTTACTTCTCCATGAAGTGACGAAGAACTCAACAGTAACGCCAAGTGATTATTTTGTAAAATTACACCGTTTCAGTTGTTGATGATCAGGTAATTATTATTACAGATAAAAGAGTCGAAATTTATAATTTCCCCTGTAGTATTTAAATATACGTAGAAAATTATACTCGTTATAATTTTTTTAGTCTATATTAATATCACAGCAGACTTTACCAGAGCCATGACATGACCTGTAAAAACAAAATAAAAGTTAGCATGAAGGTATATGTATAGGTATTTAGGCA